CTTATTATTATGACTTTTTTCATCATTTATGAGCCTCATAACTTCACAAATACAGGAAATATTAAAAAAAGAAATTTTCAGGGTTAAAAATCACATTTAAATTAAATTAAAATCTGCAACCAAGTCCGTTCTAAATCCATCCAGGCATCACAGTCTAACCAATAAACCTGTTTTGTGTTCATTTTCCTCTATAACCGACTGTGAGCATCAGTATTATGGGATGTATCACAGCTTTAACAGTATATCTATGACGTAGAGTCACAGAAACAATCACTGGTTTCCTGGATGAGTTTCTGTTTTCTGATAATTCAACAGAGAAAACTTAAAAAAGTGCATTCTGGGTAAATGTTCCACATCAGCATGTGTGATGGTGGTTGGTCAGAACAAGTTTTTTTTAACCAACATTTGACACCAGAATCTTCTAGACATGATTCACTCTGTGGGAACATCATTTCTAAGTTGGTCTTATTTTAACACTCTATCGCCATAATACTGATGCTCAAAGTTGGTTAAAGGGAAAAAAATGATTTAGACTTCATCTTGTGACACCTGGAGTGGATCTAAAATTGATTTAAATGTGTTTTTCAACCTGAAAATGTGTGTATCTGCTGTACTGATGAAGTTCTGAGCTTCAGAAATGATGGTGGACTCTCCTCTGTGCACTTCAAGGGTCTGTAGCTCTGAACATATTCTCAGTCTGAAGGTACAACTGTGCACTGCTTCTTTAAATATACTAAAGTTATCGTAGATTTTAGGCAAAGTTCTTCTGAGGGCAGTTGGTTGATATGAGCCCTGTATGTCACTGCTATCTTATGTTCTCTGCAGAAATTTGAGCTTCCAGTTATCAAACATCAGCTCAGCCTCAGAAAAAAACAACAAAGCTGCCGTCCTACTAACGGTAACGAGATATAATAACTGTCACATACTGCAGAGAGAAGAACAACCTCATCACTTCAGCCTGAAACTTCTGGCTGAATGTCAGAAACGTTTAAACACCACCAATACTTCTGCAGAAACTACAGCCGAGTTACTGAACAGCTTCTTCAACTTGAAACCTGCACTAAAAACAATTCAAGGCCACCGTGGCACCACATAAAGCCATAAACAGAAGAATGCATGAGTTTATTTGTCGCGATCCGTCTGTCGTATCTGTGACACATTTTATGGTGCATCTCATTCCCTCTGCAACCGTCTCTTGAGATAACGCCATGTGGCTGCGCTAATTTATCTATATAACATGCAAAAAAGGGCCGCTAACTGTCCAACAGATGCTGAATGAACGGATGAAGTCTTCACAGAAACAGCAGCTTTCAACTGAAGCTGCACCACGTTGGGAAAAAAATTGACATCACAACATAAAAATAAAAAAAAAAACAGGAACTTTTCGGAGGTGATTTGAATCACTCTGTTTAGAAAGAAGGATTTGGTGAAGGAGTGTATCTGCAGAGAAATTAAAACTAACTTCAAATATGACTTCATATGTGTGGAACCTTTCTCAGATCTTGTAAAACCGTCATATAAATCTGGAATAGTTGATGGAATAATAAGTATTTCTATACAACTGATGAAGGCGTCACCATTATGGACAAAATGATCATCACGAGTATTTCGGCTCAATATCGCGATCACGATTATTTATCACAATTATTCACTGATTTTAGAGTCTAAACATTTTTATTTCACTTCAGAGCTTTCAGTTTCATGCTGTGCTACATTCCTGCATCAAAAGCAGACTCAAAATAATCCATTCAGATCATATAAATATAAACTAAATTGAACCCAAAACTCCTCAACGGCTGAAAATCTGCTTATTAACAGACGTGACAGTTTCCAGATGTTCCCTAAACGCCTCACGGTCCAACAGTGAGAGACCAGACACTCGTTTGAACCGAGTCAAATAAGGAGTTTTAACGTCACATCTACTTCATTTAACCTTCATTTTAATTTTGGACACATTTTGACTCATGTTTCACACATTTTCAACTGGTTTAAGACATTTTGGCCAAATTTCCAAGTGGTTTCGGACATATTTTGAGTCACTTTGAACAACTTTTTTTGTGATTTTTGACAACTTTCAAGTCATTTTCTCTTGAAATAAGGAGTTCTAATGTCAGAAACCAGGTGATTTTAACTACACAGGCTGTTTACTATGACAGACGTCAACATCACAGTCATTTATGTTCATTTAGACCAAAAATTAGGAGTAATATTCCATTAACCTTGCAGCCCTACCACTGATTTCTGATTTGAGTTTCTCATCTGTTCGTGCTTACGTTACAACAAACCTCTTAAATTAGACTAAAAAATCTCCAACAATCCCCAAATCAGCAGACAGACAGACTTCTCTTGCAGATCAGACGTAGAAAGTGAGAACCGTGAGAGTTTTCTTTTTCTGTCAAGCAGCAAAAGTTGAGTTAATCTGACTTACTTTACTCCAAAGTGACAAAACCCAAACAGTGCAGATCTGCTACAAACTGAGGCTGTCCTCGCTGAATGGTGCTAAATATTATTTCCTTAATGAGAGCACAGAAAAACCACAGCTGACATATTCACCTGAACACCAAGTTTTACATTCACCTGACTTCAAACTGCTCACATCTTCAGTCACAGCTGACTGTTCTCTGCTCAAATTACACGTTTGAAAGCTGCCAGGTGACTCTGCCACACCTGAGCCGTTACCAGAGACTGAATATACAGTTTATGGCTGTTATAGCAACTGAATATGTAGTTTATGGCTGTTATGTAGTGACTGAATATGTAGTTTATGGCTGTTATGTAGTGACTGAATATACAGTTTATGACTAATTGAGAGACTGAATATGTGGTTTGTGGCTGTTAAAAGGACTGTATATATAGTTTAATAGGGTTAAGGAGATAGAATATACAGTTTATGAGGGTTAAAGAGACCAAATATACATTTTTAGACTTTTACTGAGACTGAATATACACTTTATGGCTGTTGAACAAACTGAACATACAGTTTAGCTGGTTTACAATGTCATATTCTACCTTTTTTTTTTTTTTTTTTTTTTTTATTTATCTTTTTTATTTTAAATCATAGTTTCCACTATATGGATCTATATAGTGTCCAGCTCTATTGTATTGCATTCCTCAGCTCTTCCTACTTATGGTTGATTAGCTCCCTTCCCTTCCTGTAGTGTTATTGTGCTCTTTCCTGTATCTGTGCTGCTAATCTAACCTTACAGAGAAGGAATGTACAGTTAATGACTATTAAACACACTGAATATACATGTTAGGAGGGTTAAAGCGACGGAAAATACATTTTGTGACTTTTACAGAGACTGAATATACAGAATATGAATGTTAAAAAGACTGACTATGTAGTTTATGACTGCTAAACAGACTTAATATACAGTTTATGAGCGTTAACAGACTGTTTCCTCCAACTAAATGAACTGAGCGAGTACCTGAAGGCAGCACCATGAAACTAAATGGTGATCCGACTAATCCAGTCAGTCGGCCAGTTAAACCAGCACAGTTCACCAACACACTCCAGCTCTCGCTCTCTCACACACACATATACAAATAAAGATAATGACATCGATATAAACTATGATAGAAACTGTGTAAATCACCTTATCACAGCCGTTAGGATTTATCACCCTCAGACCGCAGGAACTACCAGCGAGGCGGATAGCGACCACTCCCACAGTCCCGAACAGCAAACCACGGCGTCTCCGTCCGCTTAAACACACCTGGGAGGCCGCTGGCCGCTACCTGAGCTCTCTGTCGGACTGTTTTCAGTAAAACACGCCGCAGCTGGAGCTCGTTTTGTGGCAGAAACTGAACCACATCAGCTTTAGCTAACAGGGAGCGGCGGACGGACGAGCGGCTCTCTGATTGGACAGGAAGCGGCAATGTCGCGTTCTGATTGGACAAGGCGGCTGTCAGTCACGCCTCTTGAGTGACGCTTGGAAGCGGCATGACTTTTGACTCCTTCAAAATAAAAGCGACACCACATCAAAAGTGACGTTACACAATCAGCGCGTTAAAATGAGAAACGACGGTTTGTAAAATATGCAGTCGCCACATCAAGCAGCCAGTGACCCTTACACAAATCTAATTTACTATCTACTGTTTAAGCATACACATAAACATACAGTATCCTGCTGACAGATGCTGTTTTATCACACTGCAGTCCAACAGAAGCGTTATTATACATAAACTAACCTTAATCTGAGGCCACAACGTATTGCATCGGCCTCTGCTGTCTGCCAGCATCATGGCCAATAATAAACAAGACTACAGCAGTTTAAAAAAAACTGCAATCACAACACAGCAAAGAGCACAAAGAGGAAACAGTCCTCAGTCTGGCAAATCTAACAAACAGAAATGAACAAAGACAGTTTACATGTCAAGCATATTTACTCACATTAATGCAGGAATATGTTGTCTTTAACAGATAGAAAGGTAAGAATGATAAGAGACCTTGATGAAAAACTTCCAGCCCAACAAACACGCTGCAGGACTTACTGTACCGATGCACTGAACCAGAAGTCTGACGGCCGATTTACAGAGAAATCAAACCAAAGACAAATGGCAGGTCAGAGTTCACCACCACTACTGCACAACACAGCTGAATTTAATAGGTTACGTACATACCCTACACTGTTATGAAATAGTTTAATATCAGCCAGCAGCAATATTTATAATTAAATTCCTGAGCAAGGTTTTGATACTTCTAATTGTAGTAAAAAGTCATGATGAAGTGCCACATGATGCCAGAAAATCCAATCTCAAGGTCCATTCCAAAGCTTTCAACCACATCTCAAGGTCCTCCTCTGCTCATCCTGTTTGCTGCTTCATCATGCAGATGATAAATGGTGATCACAACAACACACAGTCAGGAAGAAATGTGCAGAAAATGCTGGTAAGCAGATGTTTAGTCAAGATTTTCTGTTTGTCTTGATGTTCAAGAAACCCTAACCACACACTTTTAGCATCTTTCCTGTGCTTTTATGTTGAACAGCATCAAGCAGCGTGAGGTCCTGCTGCTGCTGCAGCTAAAATAAATCTGTGATGAAGCTGACGATGCACGGCGGTGATCAGGGAGAAAAGAGAAAACAACAAACTGAACACAGCGACCGTCCCAGAGAGATCAACACGGTTTAACTTTATTCATCCATTGCAGTGGAACCACCGGAGAGTCTGAGAAAACAGCAGAACGTCACATCAGCAGTGAACCAGGAGAGACGGAAACAGAAAAACAGAGTTGTGAGGGGAAAAATGGCAAAAATATCCTCCTGTTAATGCCTGTAAACAACACACACACACACACAGAAACACACACAAACACACACTCAGAGCTCCAGAGGGGTTGAAGTTAAAGCTTCTCCTCCCTAAAAGGAACCACTCACGTCGTTCAATGACGATCACAAATCTGTCGCTCTGAATTCTGGGAAAGCGTGTTTAAATCTGTCAGAACAAACTGACTGGCTTTATTCTGATAAATTAACCAATAAAATCACCAATATGGTTCCTCAAACAGCTACAGAGTGATTATAAAGACACATGCGAGATCTGGACTGAGTTTTATTAATCTATTACTTATCATAGACAAAAAAATAAACTACAAAAACACAGCAGCAAACCTTCATTGGCCCCAAAAATGATGGAATAACAATGTCACTTAATGCCAAAGTGTGCTATACAAATGCTGCTATCCGCAGGTAGCCATCTAAAGGAGCGTTTGCTCTGATGTCGAACAGTTAGGATTTCCTATATTCAAAATTCAGGCCACATAGTGGGAACTAGATGCAACAAAAGTCAGTCCATCTTTCATTACTGAGATTCTAATCTTTGATTATTTTCAGTACGATACTTTCAGCTGCTTTCTGCCGGTCAGATCACTGAACATCCAGGTTGTAGTTTTTACTTATATTCCTCTTCTTAAAGCTTCTGCAGACTGGGACGTATCCATCTTGTCTGCCAGTATTTTGGTTTATCCACAGACATTCAACAAGTTTATCTTCATGTGACCAAAGAATGTTCTCCAACATCCATCAGACTCCTTTTCATGTTCTTTAGTAAACTGTCATCTTAAAGTTTTGTTCTGAACAGCAACAAGTATTTTTTCACACTGTCTGAGCTTCACACTAACTCTGGTTTCCATTGATAACTCCTGGACCAAGTCTGAAGCAGCTGCCTTTGTCTGTTTTAACAGCTACATTGTGAAAGTAGTTCACTGTGTGTGGAGTCATTGTAGGAGGACGACCACTGCAGTCCTGATCAGAGCTACTATGGCTCCTTCTAGACCTCCTGGTTACTGCTGCAACAGTGCTTCACTGATTTTTAGTCGCTCACAGATCTCACTGGATCCTTTTGCATCTTTGTGAAGTCTCACATTCAGATTTTTCAGTTGCTCCATAGGTCCAAAACTGAGAAAGTTCTGATGTCATTGACTCATTCACCACTGTCATGCAGCTGGTCAGTTTAGCTTCAGTGTTCACAGCTGGATTCAGTGTTGTTGCGCCCTTTGTTGCTCTATTTTCAATGCAATCTTTATTAAGCATTTGATGTAGATTGTTCATAAAAGGAAGCGCTCTGCTGTCCAGCTTAGAGTTAATGCAGTTATTGACGTATCACTTGAACTGCACAGAGGTGTTCTCACTCCTGTTGTACACTGGACCCTCTACTGGCCACCACCTGCCATCTCTACTCCACCAAAAACACTGTCTGCAGTTACCAAATGCAGGCTACTGTCTACAAACCACCATTTGCCATCCGTAGGCCATTATCTACCAAGAGTTCTCTGCCTTCTACTACATAACATCTACTGGCTAATATCTTCCATCTACTGCTTGCCAGCCACCATCTCTCTTTCGTTACTCATCATTGTACATTATTCCCATTAAAGGCTAATCTAAGATTGACAATAGTCATTTACAGGCTGCAACAGCCCTTTTTCAAGCTCAATTATCTGTAATTTAGTGTAAATTGGGGTTTATATTGAGCACATTTTGTGTCCGTCACTCACCTGCAACATCTGCCTTCAGTCTGCCTACAAATCGGGGGAGTTCAGCTCAGCAGCAGTCACTCAGCGATCATGTCACACCCACCAGCACACTCCGTCTCAGACTCACATTACTCGCAGAAGCCAAATCTGTCATCAGGATATCTGTTATATTCCAGTGCTTTCTCTCTTTTCTCTCCACATACCAGACGCACAACAGTCTTTACTCGCAACCTGTTCTCTGCGGTGTTTTTCACTTTATTATTTACCTCTTTCACACACACACAAACGTCAACAGAGCATGCACATTCGGTTGTTTTTGTACCTGTTTGGAACCATTTCCTGAAAGCAGACGATTCCTCTTCAGACAAAACTACATCCACTGACGCCATTCACGTCTTTGACTAAAGCTCTCTACGACACTCGCGTTAAAGAGACTGTGTTCGAGCTAAAAAGGAAAGAACTGCAGGATATAAAGCACATCACAGAAGCTCGTCTCATCTTTACGACACTAAACGTTCCTATAACTGTGGATAGAAGATGCTGGTAACAGCCGCATCCTATTCAGCAATGCTTTGTTTCTGTTCTGTCATTTTTGCACTATTGTTTTTGTTCTGAGTTCAAGGAACCAGAAAGACTCCAGGATGAATCCCACTAGTATGAATGAAGGGCAGAAACCAGTTACTCTTAGATTATGACATTTGTTTTACTCAGACAGCCTGATTATTAAATCTTAATCTTAAACTCATAAGACTTACAGTTTGATAAGTCATTTGGTTACTATGGAGCCACCTGAAGTTGACAGTGAAGTACTTTTAAGTTCACATGCAGTACTTTTGGAATACGTCATAATACGACTGGGTGGGTTTTCTGCACATTTATAGTTCTAAATACTGATTAATGCACAATGTATTGGGGCTACATGACACGTCAGTTCAGCATTAACACTGTAACGTAAGAAAGATAAATTAACTCAATCACATCTGGCTGCAACGTTTTTTGTTGCTTGATCCAATCCGTGGCTCTCTGTGACTGATCTACAAGAGATGTCTGTCTGATAAAACTTCATTTACTCTGATTAAAGGCTTCCTGAAGACTGTTTTTTAAAATGTTATTTTAAAGACAGAGTTTGTTGACCTGCAGGCTTCACATGTTCACAGCAACATGAGCAGGAACAGGAGAGAAAACAGGAAGATCTGGCTGCAAAAAAAGAGTTGTAGATGTAGATAACATCACCTGTTTCAGATAAAACTGATATTAGAACTCCTTTTATAGGTCTGTTCAAACTAACGTTTGGTCTCTTAGCAGCAGTATGGAGACTCGAAGCTTCTCTGTGCACAGCTGACATCTGCCAATGACTGTGAAGCATTTAAGGAACATCTGGAAACTAGTGTCTGTTGATAAGCAGATGTTTAATCAGTGAGGATTTTCAGGTTCAATTTAATTGATACCTATCCTCGACAAGACGCTCTGAATTCAGCTGAATTTTTACGTATCTCACATTGCATTGAAGACTCCACACGAAACCAACCTAGTCTTCCATTGAAGTTTTACAACACGAAGAAGCCAGAGGCCCCTTAACCCACCATCGCACAAGTTTCCATCATCACACAGTGAAGAGCAGGCAGTCAGAGAGAGCTGATCGCAGTGAGGAATGTCCTTTTATTAACCAAAGCAAAGGAGACTCCACATCATGTATGGTTATTCCATCATACAAGTTTGTTCACACTGACAATAGAAACAAAAATGAACTTTAAGGTGGGTAACATCCAAAACATTACCAAAAATACATAGAGCAAAAAAAAAGCTACCAAACTAAAAACACTACGGACTTCATCTCGGCGCTCTACAGTCCAAACATCTACTGAGCATGTGCTGTGGAAAAAGGGGAGGGAGGGTGTTGGGGGTGTTGTTCAAACACAGCAACGTCATTAAAAGGAGACACATGAAAAGAATTCAGCAGCCCTACAAAATAAAACATGATTCAGCAATCTGTCCGTCCCGCATCCTCTCCATGGCAACAGAGAACCACGTTGACATTTTTACCATGGCAACAGTGTCAGCTTTTTACAATTGCAACAGAGCTTGATGTCAGTATAATTTCTTACCACAGCAATGGGACATGTCAACATTTCACCATAGCAACAGAGCATAAACATTTGATCAGGGCAACATAGCTTTTTAATCACAATTTTACCATAGCAACATGGAATGTGAAGACTTTACCATAGCAACAGAGCACTGCAGCGAAAAGGCTTTTCATCTACAGCGTGTCTAAGCATAGCAACAGATTTTACCATAGCAACAGAGAATGTAAAGAGTTTACCATAGCAACAGAACATACACATTTTTGTCATGGCTGTTCATCACTTTACCTTAGCAACAGAGCAGGTTAAGATATTACCGTAGCAACAGAGCATGATGTAAATTTGAAACCACAGCAGCACAGCAACAATGTTTGTCAGCCACTTTACAGTGATCATGATACCTTAGCAACAGAACAGGTGAGCGTGATAAGTCTATCAACTCCAACATGATTGGACAAAGAGCTGCACCGTCATCAGTTTGTGCTACCAAAGTCAGTGAAGCAGCTGCAGAAAAGAGCAAAGTCTAGACCACAGTCCTCCTACTGGACAGAGTGCAGGGTGGGGGGGGAGTGGGGGCTTACCTGCCAATATCTACACACGGGGGAGGAGCTTCAATAGTGACTGACAGTGGATAGGGCAAGGTTTAAACTGGGCTTGCTTCTCACTGTTGAGTTTTGTCCCAGTCAGGTATGGATTGAGTTGGCTTTGTTTCACTTACATGATTAATTCGGGTAGATGTAAAATCCTACATACAGTCTGTCTGTTTCAGGTGGGGTTTAACCCAGGCTTATCTTGACCTTGCGAGCTCCAATAGGTCGGTCATTGAGGTCCATGACTGCAGCAGCAGCCTCCTCATGATTCTGGAAGGCCACCATGGCCTCACCAGTTGGCAGGCCTTTATCACTAAACTGTAAGCAGACTGAGCCTGGTAGCACCTGGTAACCATAAAAGAAGTCCATGATCTCATCAACAGTTACAGTGAACGGCATGTTCTGAAGTTTTACTATTGTCGGACCGGCAGCACCGCGTTGACTGTTGGGATTGTTGGATCCTCCAGGAGCCGGCTGGTTGCGAATTCCTTCGGCTCCAGGAGTAAACACCTGCTGTCCGCCAGCCGCCCCGCTCCCTGGACGTCCCTGGTTGTTGTTGGCTCCACCTCCCCGAGTCTGTCCTCCTGCACTTCCTTTTCTGTTGGCACTGTCAAAGGGCACTAAGCCTCTTAGCCCATCCTGGCTGAACGGAGCTCCTCCTGCAGCTCCAGGTCGAAAACCCGGTGGCTCCAAGATTGGTGCTCCAGGAAGACCAGCAACTAGAGGGGGAGCTACACCCAAATTTACGTCCCCGAGCCCTGCAGCCAGCGGGGGCAGAGGAGGAGGGCCTGCCAGGCCATTCCCAGGAGCTGAGAATGGAGTTACAAAGGGGGCACTGTTGAGGTTCCCCATGGTATTTCTGAGAAAGTTAAACTCCTCCCCACTAATACCAGCAAATGGGTTAATCTGCGGCTGTTGGGCACTGGGCTGGGCTTGTTGGTGCTGGTTCTGGTTATGATTCTGCTGGTTCTGGTTACGTTGGCCCCTCTTGTTTTGAGGTGGAGGATTTCTCTCAATTTCCTTCATCTGATCAAAGGTCACCAGGTGGACAAAGGCGTCACGACCGTTGAGTTTTTGACGGTGCAGTCTTTCGGATTTGCGGGCATCTTCCTCAGTTCGCAGTTGGAAGATAGCTTGCCCTAAACCATTGCCATGGCTATCTGTCAGGACCTTCAGAGTGTCCTCATAGAGTCCGATGCCCTCAAGGAAGGCGCGAACATCTTTCTTGGAGACATTGTAAGGGATGTTGGTGATGTGGGCACAATTCCTGGGAGCTTTCAAGCCATCCTGGCTCTTGCCATCACCCTGTGCTGCTTCACGTTTGCGGATAGCATCAATCTTTTCAAGCATTCCTTTTCGGTTGATGGGGTGAACCTGGATGAAGCGGGTGCCCATGTACTGCATGTGAGCACCCAACGCATTTTTGTAGTCCTGTTCTGATTTGAACTCAAGGAAACCCTCTCCTGTGGCTCGACCATTGGGTCCATAGGCAATGTAGATGCTGTCTTCCACGATTGCAAGATTCTTAAAGAACTCCATAATCTGTTTCTTGTCTGCCTCGTAGGGAAGGCCCTTTAGGTAGACACAGTACTCCTGCCGATGGGGAGATCGTGACCTTCCTCGTTGGTCCCTGCCTCCTGTTACTGACCCAATATTACCACGACGGTGCTGCTGGTCTTGTGATTCACTGCTGTTATTTGATTTGCTGCTGTTGTGAGGGGCATGTCCTGTCCCATTGTCACTGAGGCTGACCCATTGACGCTCAGAGCCTGGAGTGATCTCAATGAATCTTTGGCCCATCATGCCACCTCCACGTTTCACAGCTTCAAAACTGTCCTGGGGTGAGAAGAATTTGACCATAGCCCTGCCACTTGGCCGACCTTGCCCATCCCTCAGCAGGCGAACTCCATCCACTCCCAGACCCCGAAAAAACTCCCTGACTTCCACTTCTGAGCAGGAAAATGGGAGGTTCTGCAGGAGAACAAACAGCTCGTCGGGATTAGCCGGGCCTGCCCCTGTGGCGGCGGCAGCGGCAGCCTTCATATGGGCCTGAAGATTAAGTGATGCCAAGGGGGAGAGAGGGTTGAACAGCATGGGGTTGGGAGTTCCAAGAGGGAGGCCAGAGGCCAGTCCTGCTGGAGGAGGTAGGGAGGGGTTGAAGGGAGGCAAGGAGGACATGTGGGGGAGGTGGGACATTGGGGGCACTGGAGGCCCTTGGGATAGTGGGGAGACCGTAGGGACAGGGGGGAGGGAAGACACTGGAGGAGGTACTGGAATGGTGGGCAGCGTGGGCATAGGGGGCATGGAAGGCATGCTGGGAAGTGGAGGGATGGGTGGGGGACCTGCGCTGAGTGAGGCCAGAGCTGTGGTGAGTGTAGGAGCGGAGCTGTAGCTGTTGGGGAAACTGGGCACCACGCTGGCCAGACTGGCTGCTGCCTTGTTGCTTGGTGGCTCCTGAGATGAGCTCGCTGCTGTCACAGAGGCAGGGGTGTTGAAACCCTGGTTTCCATGGCTACCACTTCTCCCTCCTGCCCCAGACTGCACTGTGGGTATGGGGGCAGCGCCCGCTTGGCGGTTAGCATTCCCCGCTGTAGGTGCAGCCATTTCCACAGCTCCTGCTCCAGCCTCGAATCTGCGGCGGCTGAGTTCGATCATGTTCTGCATTTCTGTCTTGCTGCTAAGCAACAGTGACACTTTGGAGCCCTTTATGGATCCGCCTGTTCGCATCATCCCAAGTCGAGCATCTTCGTCAGTGGCAAAGACGATGAAGGCCTCACCATGTTCACCACCCACGATGTGCACTCCCCCATCAGGAATGGTGAGGCCAGAGAAGAAGTGCCTGATGTCCATGGTGCCGGCCACTATGGGCAGACCCTGCAGCCTGATGACTACCGCCATACTGACTGCTAAACAACAGCCCTACAACCTGGGGAGAAAGCAACACTATCATCAGATGAAGAGCAGGAAAAGGGAGACCAGTGGTTTCCAGATGTTTTCTCAGTAAACTTAGATATGTCTTTGCAGGCCAATAGAGGCATCAACACCGCTTAAGGCCAATTCATGTTTTTTGCATTCACGCGAGTATATGTAAATGTTATCATCCACCCAAATCCAACCCAAAATTTGTGACCGCGCAGACTGTCTGCACTGTAAACGTGCCAATTGCACATGTGCAAGGAAAACAAATGGTAACCGAAACAAATGCTTTTGTAGAAGAGGGAGGAAATTCCCCATCATCTAAACCTTGATAGTTCATCAATAAATGAGTTGTAATTGAAGTAGTTGCTGTAGGACTTTGAGCTTTGATTTGTATATGCTTTCCATCGATGGAGCCCAAACACAGTTGGAACTCCTTTTCTCTCAAGAGATCTTTTGCCAAGTCTGCCCACTGTGCTTGACACACCTTAGGAATAATTACATTTACACGGTGCTACACCATGATCTGTAACAGCTGCTGTATCCCCATGTGCTTTTGTGTTCAATATGAGGGGCAATGCCACGGTCCTTATAGCAAAATGGCGCGTTCATGGTAGTACAAACAGAACCATGTACGCCTTCTGCTTTTAAAAGCGACATCGGTCTATGCAAACAGATGCAGAACGCATGAATTGGCCTTGAGATTACAGTTTATTCACAATAACCCAGAGACCACTTTTAAACTCTGTACACCAAGTTTTGGGTTCTGACATCTGGAAACTCGTGGTGTTTAGAAAGGGTTTGGGGGAGAAGGGATTTTGCAAAATTTAGAGAAAACTGGCAGAGAAACTAAGCTAAAATGGTAGCCTTGTCAGTATTGAGAAACTTGTTCTTTTACGAGATCATGCAGCACATCAGATTTTTTGTAAAAACACAACAGAAGCAATCTTAAGCACGAACATAGCTTCAGCGTTTAGTAACTTGTGCTGTAAAAAATACATGAAAGTTAATAAACATATTAAGGAATAGCATAGATATCAAAAGGAAGAAAAGACCAAACTGCTGATACACGGAATATTTTCTCTTTAACAGATGTTATAAATTGCAATTTTAGAGCAATTCAACAGGCTAAAACGTGTTTCACATGCCAAAACAAACAAACAGTTTTCATCTGCGATATCTTTCCTTGTGGAGTCTTAACAAACTTTTTACCTATGAGCTATCTGCACCAATTTCTTTTATTTTTAAGCAAGCATGCACCAGGGCCAGGTAACGCTCCGTACTGCTTCTTATTAAGTCTGATTTGTAAAGTAACTCACACAGCTTGTATCTTATCCAGCGAGTGTTTTCAGGTTTCAGCAGACCTTTCACATACCTTGTGTTAGATCCTTTTCCTTGTGTGTTTCAACAACAAAAAAAAACTCAACATAATACCACAAACTTTATAATACAACTTATTTCGCTGAAAACTAAGATCAGTACGCTTCAAATGAAGTGCCAGTTGAATAGCATATATCAGCATCTGAAGCCCACCACCAAAGCGGGAATTTTTACAACATGACATAAATGTTGTACAACCCAAATCATTTGAAGATTACTGAAGCCTTCGATCTCAGCACAGGCTGGTGTACTGACCCCTGTATGGAACTTACAAGTTGTTTGCAGTTTAGCTCTGTAAAAAAGCTTCTCTGTTGTCTACCATGCAGTACAAACATGTTGCTTGTATATTCCGCTCAGTGTGAAATATTTCGTGCAACAGTAAACCTTCATGATTCTCATGCAACTTGCAACTCACCAATGCAACTAAGCTGTGTGTATAGTTTCACTGTAACAGACAGAGGGTTTCTGCAGGATACTGAAACCTGGTGAAAAGGTCAGAGAAACAGACATTCCTGTTCAAAACATCTGGATGGAATTCAACCTGTCACACCACGGACCGGCAGTAGGTTTTACATTAGCTTCCGGTGAGCATTTAGCAGGTTGTTTTGAATCAGTGTCAACAGCTAGCTCTCAATCAGTCGCAACAAAGTGTTAAATGTTAGCAAAGTATTGTGTAATGTATGACTTCAGCCTTATTAATAATTTAGAAAAAAAAACTTCTGTTAGGCTCAATACAACACAGAAAAACTCCTCGGATGTCAACAGAAATCCAACTGGGAGACTTTCAAAACATCAGATAAACACCATATTCAGACAGGAGCAGCTTTGCTTCCTGACAAAGTGACACACGTGTCCAAAAGCAAACCTCACTGTCACTACAACACTCTGTGTACATAAACTACCAAGCTAGACTCGATCTTTCCTCAAAACAAGTAAACTCAAAACTTCAACACAGAACCAGAGATGCTTTTCCACTGCAGGAACTCGGGCAAGCGCAAGGTGGTTCCAACACGTACATGAACAACAACAACCAGCTGCAACACATCAGCAACACCCGGCAAACACAACCAGTTAGCAACCCTTTAGCAACACCTGGCAAACACAAAGCAGCAACCCCGGGCCTATCTGGCAACCAGGTGACCATCAAGACCACAGAGATCTGGATCCTCCAGCATCTCTGAGACAGCAGGCAGCACCTCAGCATCTGGCTGTAAAACACCACCACATGGACAACATGGCAACCAGCAAATTTGCAACACATTGTCATCATCGTCAACAAATCGTTAACATCAGGAGCAACAACAGGAACTTAACAACCAGAGCAGTAACAGCAACATCATCAACATTTTGACAAAAGCAATGCCAGTTACATGTAAACCAGAGCAGCGTTAGCATCATGTCAACAAGACCAACATTAGCATTACATCAACCAGTGCAACATTAGCGTTATGTAAACCACAGCAACATCAGCAACTGATTGCCAGCACAGCACCAAAGACAAGCAGCTGATCAGAAGAAGAAGTGAAAAGCAATGCAGTGCAGAGCAACACATCAGGTAGCACTGAAAAAAACATGTTGAGCAACAGCAGTTGGAGCAATGCTTGCTGCTCCCACAATCCTCTGCCTCCCCATCGAACACTTCAGTCACTCTGTGGTTCAAAACAGAAAACAAAACACTGAAACATGCTGAAAACACAAACTCTCAAAGTCTGTATGTGACGCTGCTACCTGCAGCTCACCACACCCTTCAACATGATGCTCAACATCCTCATCATCAGTGAGAGCAGCGTTCAACGTCAGTGCAGACAAATCACCGGCAGATGATTGGGATTTTTTGAAATTGGTATTTCAAAATAGATTTTCAAACTTGAGCGTCCACTCGTCTCATCGTTTCTTGGTGTCAACCTACCAAGAATCTGTGAAACATCAACAGCAACAACAGGATAAAACAGAGCAGAAGAAGAGACAGCACCAGCTGACAGTCAGAGACACAGCTCAAGTGTCGAGAGGCAGGTGAAAACTGAAGCTCCATCGTCCACTCGCATGAACAAGAAAACACAGGAGCTGATAAGAGACAGAAAGCGACCTCCTGCAAACAGCCAGAGAGAAAAATTCAGTACAGCAAATTCATGATCAAAGAGGAAAAAGCTGCCATCGTTTCTCAGGTTGAAGCCGGAAAACATAACTGGCCACAGCGAAGAGAGTGAAACTGAACGAGAAGAGAGGAACGCCATAAATGAGTCAAACACAAAGACAGAACCTGTTCAAGAACAAGGAGGACGGACTCAGCAGCCAAAACGGAGCTCAAATCTCAGACAGGACAAATAGACAGCCTCTGTGGCGGTGTACGCCACACCTTACCTCTCCATCTGTTGCACTGTGATCCTGAACAAACAGAACCGAACCAACCGATATACAAGAAAGTGCAGGAAAGTAATTATTCCTCTTTTCTGTGTTCAATATCTGATTCAATCACAACACCAGCTACAGTCCCTACCTGACATGCACTTGATTATGTAAATAATGGGGCAGTTCTACATGGCCGTCCCAGGTTTCAATAATGTTTTGCATAACGGTTTGAAGAAGACACACTTCCAGAACCAGTCTGTGCATTTTCAGCTCTTAAACTACAAGTGAGCAAAGAGAAATTACGCAAGAAATCCCATCATATCCTGGGTGTTTTAAGACCTTGTGAATGTGATTTTTTACTTTGTTAACGTGTTCATATTGTGTTTTTTTTAATGCTGGAAGACATTTCATGAGTGAAATTAGCAGCTAAAGTGATGACTGGGTATTCCCACCCTCAAAAACACAGATTGAGATACACCAATCCTGTCCGGTTTTCTGTATCATTACTCTTCGTAAGAATCGGCTTCTGTTTCCAACATGTGCAGCTGAATTACTGCAACATGACAAAATTTCACCAAGTAGTTTGACAGTGTTTAAGCAGAGCGGCACGTGAGCTGGTGTGCTCGAGGTGCAAAAAGCGACAGAGGGATTGGATTATTATTATTATTATGGATTACAGGTGGATGCAAGCATTTCATACCACTTTCTCCTCCTTCACTTCACTCAACCTCTGAGCATCAACCTACACGCTGAAAATGTCATATTTTCCAGTAGATTCCCCCCCCCCAGTTAATCAGCCGTTTATTTAATCTCGCCTCCTGTAAGAAAATGTTCCACCAAAACAATTCCCCGGTCACTACTTTGTGGGAACACCGTGGCGGCATCTTTCACTTAGACGACTGTGTGGACTAAAGAAACACAAACAAGCCAGAGTGTTTTTTCCTCCTTACAGCAGAATGAACATGAGATGCAGCAGATTATTCTGTACTGCAGAATGATACGGCTACAAGAGGCTAGGCCAACTGTAAACATTTTTTGCTACTGAATTTACAATTCAAGTAGTCTTGATTAGTCAGCCTCATCATTGTTCTGCTATAAGAGGGAAAAAAAAAAAACACATTATTGTTCACATTCGTAATCACATCCATTGTGGGTGAAGCTACATTAAATACGCAGCTGCAATGTCACCTCAAAACAGTGACATGGGGTTTGTTTTGGTGAAATATTTGCATGCAGGCGGATGAGTACAGTTGTTGAAATGGAGAACAATGGGCTGCTTCAGCGTGGTAACGCTGAACTTTCCCCACTGTGGGATCAATAAAGTTATCTTTATCTTTAGGCTGCTGCTCGGAGGTTGTTGTTGTTGTTGCTTCCTGTAGTGAAGGAAACAGTAACACACAACCGGAGGAAGAAAGGGCAAAGTCACGTGAGGACTGCAGTGGCTTATTTGCCCACAAGCTACATCCGGTGAGTCAGATTACAATTAAGTGTGAGTTATCTGTTCTTCAAATTCTTCATGAAGCGTGGCTGGTTTTGAATTGAACATTAGGTGTCAGTGGTTTATCAGCAAATGAAAAAAACATTCATAGTGTTTCATTCATTTCAGCAATTGATCAATTGCAGGAATTGTTGCATCCCTTGATTGTACAGACACACTATGACCATTTAATTGTCTTTATACAACAAACGTTCCCTAGTTTTGCAGATTCCATGTTTGAAAAGGCTGCAGTCACTAACACAGCAGTGTGAGGGCCCACAAACAGCCCCCACGGTCGCCCTCGCTCATCTTCAACACCTGTCTACCTGCTCTCATCAGCAGCTCGTGCTGGGGTGGGCGTCGTGGCGGAGGGCGTGGCTTGGGTGGTTTCAGGTGGGCAGAGAACGACGGAAAAAGACAGAACAGCTCAGAGATCAAACCCACAAACTGTCCTCTCAGCGCATTAGTGCACAGAGTGAGGAAACCACACGAGAAAACCGCAATGAAAATGCACGAATTAGAGTCTGCCGGCTAACCGCAGTTAGCAGCTCCGGAAAACACAACCCTACCTAAACCTTTTTAAACACGCAGTCACTGCACTTACTAAACACCAACATGGAGCCTCTACAGACAGTTCCTCGCACAGTTAACTAGCTGGTTCCCAGCAGAAGTACTGACTGTAACTAGCTTAGCTTAGCTTCCTAGCATGCTAACGCTAGCTGCCTGTGAGCCTGGCTTTGTGTGTGTGTGTGTCGGAGCGGAACAGCGAGCAGGATGCGTGCTTCCAGCGGCTCCTGTCGTGCTCGGCTCCCGGTGTGAGTGCATCGTGGAGCGGGCTGCCGCAAGTGAATTCTTACCGAGAAATTAGTCAACAAAAACACAGAGGTTTAACTCATGAACGGGGCTCTTTTCTTCGCTTCTCCTCTCTGCGGGTTGCTGCTGCTGCACAAAATGTCGGTGCAAATACCGCGATAACATACGGGATGTCGCGAGAGGACCCAGCCTGACGTCAGAGCAGCAGCTCCCCCTTCCGGATGAACAGAGATAATAAGAAAATAAAATAAAAATAAAACAACTTCTTAACAATGAGTTAAGTTAAAAAAAGAAAAAAAAAGAAAGTCTTAAAACTACATTTAAAACAGTTATAATATCACATTTAAAATAATCGTTGAACACGTACAACCTTATGTAAAAATATATTTAAAAAACATATAACAGACGTTTTCATTACATTATCAGTATTTAAGTATTTTATTTTAACATTTCTTCCATTGTTTATTTAGAAAAAAAAAATTAAAAATGGAATCACCATGTACAACTTTTTCCAAGAGCCCAAAGGTGTTACCAACACCAGAAAAAATGTAAAATGTACACTCCACGTGCTAAATATAGGCTACTTGACTTGGACTATTTATACTTTTACAACCTCTATAGACTCTGTAAAGATGTTCCATCATGCTAAATGTACTGTCTAACAACCTGCTCTGCTATGTACCGTTATTGAGCCATGCTGTATTTGTTTCATTATTCCTGTAAGTTTTATTTGTCTCCCTTGTCATCTCCTCTCTTCTCTGTGGAAACACTGCCACAATTTTTTTTTTGTTTTTACAGACCCTGGTGCAAACCGTTTATTCATTATTTATTAATTTTTTAAAAAGACATTTAGCATAAAGGGATTTGAAGTGCCACACGTGATACGTTCACAGACTGTCAGAAAGTTTTTTGATGTGATATATGATTTTTAAAAGAAAAATGCCAGTTGGTTTTAGAGTTCAGAGGTTTAAGGAATAAAAAAAGCTCACTTTCTAAGGATAGAATTGTAATTAAAATGTATTTTTACCATAGCATACATCAAAATAAAGTGCTCTCTAAAAATTTTGTTTTGAACATATAAACAAACATTATAATAACGAACTGTAAGAATTATACATAAGTTGGATTAATAGAGCGTTTGTCACATCAGGACTAATACAATTAAAGTAGCTGGTTGAGTTACTGACATTATTAGTTATACACAGAAGAAATGCGTAGTATTCTCAGAAAACATACAGAATTTATTTGTTTAAAGGTCTGATGGTAGAGAGAAAATTTAAATCATACCAAATTAATATTTTCCTCCTCTTTGCACCTTTTTCCTTATGGAACATGTACAACTACTTTGTTTATGAAGCACTTCTTGTTTTAGAAACTGTGCATCGACATGAGTGGAAAAAATTGTGATATTTTCCTGTATTGTGTGTTTTGTATTATTAGGATTTATATGAAGGAAAATGGGTTCAAAACCAGCTCAGGTTGTACTGTAAATGTTGTGATTGTGTAGAAACCAGACACACAACAAATGTTGATTGCATAACCATGAAGCAGCGATTTATTGAACACTAATGTGTAGTGGTGAGTAACAGGAGAGGAAGCTGCAGGCTAATAAATATGAGGCTTGGAATATATCTAGGAACACAAAATAGTGCGCTCCAACCACATTTATCAAACAAATATCTCACTCGTTTGTTCTCAGACTTTCAGGATCATCTTCAGCAACCTCAGACTTGTGACAAAAGATTCCAGTATTTAAAATCGGCTGCAGTCTGTCAGAAGAATCCGAGCTGCTGCTGCTGCTAACACTGTTTGAATGAACATTTCACTGAGGATGTTACACCGACATGCTGCTGGCTGGTAAACACTGATGTGAAGGAAAGACTGAGGACTGAGACAAGACGGAGAGGACAGAGAATAACATGAAGAACAGTGCAGGAGACGTGAATCGTCAAGTGAAAAGTCCCGACTTAAAGTATTATGAGATGAACCGTCACGTCCTGGTAAACTGCAGCACACTGTTCAGGTTGAAATGATGCTGGCGACATCCCACAGTGAGATCAGCTGTTTAGTCAGCCATCTTTGGGTTTCATTTTAGTTTTGTGGCACCATGAAGCTCCACCACAGGTAAAGCGTCACCGCCAGTAAGTCATAAAGTCAGTGTGTGTTACAGAGAGGAGTGTGTGATGAAGCAAGTTTGACACATCCAGGCTTTCTTTGCGTTGTCTGACTTGACAAAACCTTAATCGGAGATATCAGGTGAGTGTTTATCAGCTTCCTATGTTAACCAGTTTGTCCACTAAAGGAGGCATTTGAAGAGTCATGTGACCCTTTTTTGTCACCTACTTCGGTGAGGAGAGTAGGTCGCTATAAAGGTGAATATAAAAATGTACTATGATTAAAAAATTTACCACCGATACTGCAAATAATTCCAGAGAAGAACGTTGGTAGAAAACTGATGATTCTGTTCGTTAATATGTTTATAACGTCGCCTAATGCACTCTGAGTTCTTATTTCTGACTTAAAGCTGCACATTAGAGCTCTGAAACTTCAAACGTCATTCATTTAAACACCAACATGTAGGTCTGACACTGTCCCATAAAGAATTAAACATGGAAATCATTAGTTTTTTAGCCAAATCTAAGTGAATTTAATGTTACTACTTGAATATTTTCTGGGATAAATGCCAACAGACTGATCCGTTTTCTAATTTATTCTATTAGCTGCAGTACTAGCAGTGTAAAACAAAGTGGGCAGCAAATCAGGATCAAATATTAAAACACAATTTTGCGTTTTCTGCGTCACCAGCTGAACAAATGTCAGGTTGCCATGGCAACATCTAGTTATCCTGTTGCAACTGTGCAGCTTCATAACGTGGGATTATTAGCTTACAGATCAACAGGTTTACAGATAAGCTGAGAATCTGAATCTCTCAGGAGAGGAACTGGTTAAATGGAGATGCTTCTTCCAGCTAATTCAAATCCCAAACTCTGAACAGAACAGCATCAGTTATGATGCCTAAGGCTGCATATTAATCACACATGCTCTTAACTGGCCCAGTGAATTATAAATTCAAACTTTTATCCTATTTGTGTGAATATTTCTGACACATATCATCCTGCTGAATGACAGTAATGTCGTTTCCCTGCTATTAAATATTCCACTGATGATGCTGCTGGTTATAATTAATACTGGATGAGTAAACGGAGAATTAACTGAGCCAACTGTTAACCAGCTTCACAATGCCACTCATCAGTGAGTCCAGTAGCCCAAAGAGAGCCGACTAAATGCCAGACTGCAGGATCTGCTGCATGTCACACTGTGGGAGATGGATCTGATAAAGTCTCAGCTTGTGTCACATCATATCAGCCGATGCAGGTCAGACAGTTTGAAGCGAATCGCAGTTTTTTCCCTTTTCTGTATCATTCAGATTTGTGCGCACACGTTTTTTTTTTTTCCTCAGTAAACTTTATTTAAAAAAATGGCACGTGTACATGTTCACGACGGCTGGTGGGTTCGTGTTCGGATTTGTTGCAGCTGTGAGAAGTTGGTCCTAAATTTCTGTCTGAATTCTGCTGCAGGCGAAGTTCGATCGATCCGAATCCGCCGTCAATTTTGGAGCGACGAGTGAAGATTTTGCGTTTTTCTCTCGACCGTCAACTCGCATCTCAGACGGCCCAAAACATCAGCGCGTCGCACTTTTCACTGGAGATGCACAAGCCGCTTGTTGGGCAACACGCTGATGCACAACAGAACAAATACAACAAGCGGAGATTTCTGTGCGTTGGTCAACTCACTGAGCAACGTCCCCTGACAGAGCAACCGGAGGAGCTTCTACAGAGACACAGAGCTACAGCTACAGACAGACTTCAAGTCGGATAGGAAGTTTGTGCGTGTTTGTGTACAGGAAGAAAAAGCTGGTCGGTCCCCAGGAGTGCTGGGAACCTTCATCCAAGTGGGAGGAGTCTAATGCTGGGTCCACTTGATGCTCTTCAGGTCGATGCCTTCCTGAACCATCTCCCACAGAGGACTGAAACAGGGAGGGAGAGAAGGTTATGGGCTGCTGCTGTCACTGTCATTCGTGTAAAAACAGATAAAAACCGACCAGAGCTGAACCCACCTCATCTCTCGGAGCCTGTGGACCTGCTGGATGCATTTCTCGGCCGTATAGTCGACCTCGTCTTCAGTGGTGAACCTGCCGATACCAAACCTGCCGAAGACACAAACACAGGTGGACGTTAACCTGCCTCTAAGTCAACTGAAGGAGAACCAGAAAGCAAAAAGGCTGCTGAGCTAAAAATAAAAAATGTCTCTGTGAGTAAACGTCAGAGAGTTCAGCTTGAAGTGACTCATTCTGCGGTTAGCAGCACAACACAGAACCAGCCAACAGAACACAGCACAAAGAGGATCATATAAACAAGTTAACCATTCATTTATTTTGTACTATTTAATTCTGATTAGTGGTGGGACGCTATTAAAAAAACTAATGTAATTAACTAGAGGCTTTGTAATTAGTTAATCTCAATTAATCACATTTTTATTAAATAGCAATATTTGACACATTAAGCAAAGTTTTTCAATTTGAATAAATTTTGGTTGACGACTGAATCGGTGAACAGACATATGTTAACTTAAACAACAACGTTTGTTCTTCATCTATATTTATCTGCATTGTTCACCCGTCTACTACAAACACAGATTAGTACAAACTCAAAGCGATTATATTCAACATTATAAGACTTTCTCTCTTAAAACTCTTTATTGCACGATTTACACACAACCATGCTCTCATCCAGGCTGCCATCGAGAAGTTTAAAAAAAAACAAAAAAACAACTTTCATCCCAACAAGCCAAAGCAACGCGGTCTCGTCTTCCATCACTAAACTTTCTTGGGCATCTTCTTTGTGGCTGGTAAACAAACTTTAGGTGCAACAGCGCCACCTATGGGCTGGAGTGTGCTTCAGCGTTACCGGAGGACCAGAAATTAGGGAACTGAGAAAGGTGCGATTTAATGTGTGATGTTTTTTTCTTCTGTAATTATTTATTGAAATGAATGCGTTGAAGTCCCAGGCCTAATTATGGTCCTAACTCTGATCAACATTAGAATCAGCTCTACTAGCAGGTTGATTATTAATCCTCTGAAGCCCAAAACCTGCCAGCAGGTTTAAAACATGTTTGTTTTCTAACGGCCAAAGTGACACCAGTTATCAGCCAGAACACTGTAAAAACTGTAAAAGCAGAAAGAATGAGCAATTTTTTGACAGTACTTAATTCATCGGAAATTGGAACTGCTATTAATGGGAAGAGTTTAACCAAATCGAGGCTTAAAATCGTGATATTTAATCAAAATCATATCATTCTACATGTCTAATTTAGCAACTTAGCCATTAGCAACTCTACTGTGACAAACAGTCATGAGACAAAAGTTCATTTAGTTTTCATGTGAACAACCAAAAACTTCTCGGAGCGCAGAGGGTTAAACTGACAAAAAAAAAAAAAAATTGACTGAAGCTAAATCTGACTATAATCCTGACTGTAATTAAAATGATAATTAGCAGTGTTACTGTAAACGTTTGTACCTGATGGAAGAGTGAGCCAGATCTTCGTCGGCTCCGATCGCTCTGAGGACGTACGACGGCTCCAGAGACGCTGATGTGCACGCGCTGAACAAACACACAGAAATATTTGTTATTATTTAAAGGTCTAGAAATATACAATTTGAGGTTTATGCATGTTAAAAGGTTAAAGTTTGTGTCTGACCTTCCAGATGACAGAGCAACGTCCTTCAGGGCCATCAGCAGACTCTCTCCCTCCACGTAGGCAAAGGAAAGGTTGACACAGCCTGAAAACACAAACAAACAAACACAGTCAGAAACGTTCACCTCATCTGGAGCTCCAACAGAAACCTCTGACATTAAGTGGAAATACAGATGGAAGGAAACTTGACCGCAGCTACAGAAGAGAAGCTCTACAGCAACTAAAACAGAACTAGTTGTGGGACGTATGAACCACCGTATGTGTGTTCTCTGTATGCTTCACAGCTAACCAAGTTAAACTAGCTAATCCAGTATTTGACTGTCTAGTAGTCAAACAGCTGAGCAGCCAGTTAGCTGACTCTGCTTTCTGACTTCCTGGTGTAACACAGTCTGGTCTCTGTGATTCAGCGCAAAAGGTCAAATTTAGAAATTCAAAAGCAAATTCCAGACGGGAAAAAAAACAAAAGAAAGCGTTTCACAGATACATCAGAGATCACGAAGGCTCTCATAGGAATGAATGGTGTTCCAGTTGATGTATATACAAACAGAGCTATAAGACAACAAGGCGTTAATGTGTGTTTATGTGTGTGTTTATGTGTGTGTTTATGTGTGTGTGTGAGTTTACCAGGGTAGCGCTGTTCTGGATCTCCATTCATGATAACATCAGGAAGCTCAGACATGACCTTGCTGACCAGACGATTAGCGAGCATGGACACCCGGTGATGATCATACTACAAACACACAAACACACACACATTAAGTTGATCTGTGTGTAGCCGCTGTGTGTGTTTGTCGAACGTTGTGCCCGTTTTACCTCCATCTCCTGCTGAGCGATGCTGCAGGCGGCTCCCAGGCCGACAGCCAGCGGGGTGGGCACGGTGCCGGAGCGCAGCCCCCTCTCCTGGCCGCCGCCGTTCTGCAGCGGCTCCAGACGGACGCGAGGCCTGCGACGGACGTACAGAGCTCCCACACCTGAAAACACACACATATTGGAGATCTGACTTCCATGCAGGTCATTATTGGAGAACCACGGGGGGTCAGAACACTGTTTTGTTCACTCAACTCACGCTGCAGTGAGGCCAAATGTTTAAAAACTACATTAATTATATACTTGTTTCTACATTATTTTACATTATTTTTCATCAAGTGATCAAAGTCGAACCGTGTCAGCTTATTGACTCCTCAGATTTAATCAAAAATAAAATAAAATGAAACAAAAAAACGAAGCAAAATTTTATTAAACTGTCTGAACCTCAAATCCCACCGGTGGGTTTCTAGGACATGTTATCTATATTATACCATTTATATGCCAAAAACTGTAAAACTAAACAAAAGAAAGCAAAAAAAAAGAAGTCATGACATTTCGACTTTCTGATGATCCTTAAGCTACTTATATGTGACGCTTCGTTCTGTCAGAAAAAATCCGAATCGCAGCCTAAAGTTGTGATATTTCATCAAAATTCTGTAAAAAAACTAAGAAGGCATTACAGGCTCAGCTGTGATCAACAGTCACCTGAGAAACATTAAATATTTTTGTGTATCACAGAGTTTGGTTGATAAAAATACTTCTGGTGTATTTTTAAATTTCAGAAAAAAGTGATATTAATGAAATACCACGATTTTAGGCTGAGATGTGGTGACGTTTTCCAACAGAGCGACACTTTACAGATGAGCAGTTTAAAGAAAGTTGAAAATGAAATAATTTCTTCCATTACTGCAGCTGACTGATAAATGCTGTAACTTTTTCACGATAACAAGCCTCTCAGACCTGTTTCAGAGTTCAGAGTTTACTCCCTACTAACGCGAGCTCTAACCTTTGGGTCCGTAGATCTTGTGAGCGCTGATGGACATCAGGTCGATCCTGGAGTCGGAGACGTTGATGGGAATCTTGCCGACAGCCTGAGCGGCATCCGTGTGGAGGAAAACTCCTTTGGAGCGGCAGATCTTCCCTGCAGACACCAAGAGTGAATCAGCGTTTCCACGTCGGTCTGATTTGTTCTGTATCACTGAAACGTGGATCCAACTATGTGTGTGTGGATATTTAGGTAATCTGTGCTCTGCGTTGCCATGGTTACCGATCTCCTTGATGGGCTGCTTGACTCCGATCTCGTTGTTGACGGACATCACCGACACCAGAGACGTGTCGGGACGGATGGAGGCCTCCAGCAGCTAAACACAAACACGGCTTTGGTTAACACAGGGACTGTCTGTACGTTCTGTCTGTGTTCTCTCTGAATGTTCTGCTCCAGTACCTCCAGGTCCAGCAGTCCGTTCTTCTGGACTGGCAGGTAGGTGACGCTGAATCCCTCAGACTCCAGGATTCGACACGAGTCCAGCACACATTTGTGTTCGGTCTGCGTGGTGATCACGTGACGCTTCTTGGCCTGGTAGAACCTGGCCACGCCCTGCAGAACCCAGAGCAGCACCGTTAGAACTCTAATGTGTTCTCTCACTGTTCTTTCTCGTTATTTTGTTCCTGTTCTGTCCATAAGCCCTCAACACTCACCGTTTTTATTAATAAAGCCTACAAGTGTGGAAGTATTTTGTTTGTTGAGCTATCAGGGTGCAGCACAGAGGAATTCAACCAGTATGAGCCTCTACGGTCCACACAAAAGGTCAGAACCTACCGTTCTGCTACGTACACACAGAGCAGAGAACTACAGCTGCTGGTGTTGGTATCACTCATTGTTCACACTGTTTGAATTGTGAGGCTCGGTGCTTCCAAATGATTTCAAATCTCAGCGGCAGCAAAATGTTTGTTTCAAGGGCTTCATGTGTTCTCACTGTGTTTTAATGCATTTTCAGTGTTGGATTCTTAACTCTCTGAACCCCAAAACGCCTCGACGATTTCAAAATCTTCAAAACCACTTTAATCTACATGTCTCGTTTAAATTTGACAAAAACAAAAAGCTCTGAGCTCCTCGTGGCAACCAAGAAGCAATTATGAACTCAACTGTGACTCAGCTGAACAGCAGGCAGAGCATTTCTGAGTTCTCTCTCCTCCTTCATTCTGTTTCCGTAGAGGAGCACAACTTTATATTGCAGTAAAAAATGAGCCAACAGTGAGTAAAAATGTCCAGAAACTGCTTAAAGTTCAGAGAGTGAATGTGTTTTTAATTTTTCTGTTTTGTCTCGTGTGTTCTTGTTGCTGCGTTCTGATCCGCTCTGAACACTTTCTCATTTTTCTTCTCAACGAACCCAAAACTTAGACGAGGTGTCTGTGTTGACGGGATGAAGAGCAGACGGTACCTTGATGGCCATGTTGTTGGACTCGGTGGCTCCGCTGGTGAAGATGATTTCTCTGGGATCGGCTCCGATCAGATCAGCCACCTGCTGCTCAGAGAGAAGCAACGCAGTCAGTGTTTACGTTCGCATTAGGTCCTAAAGATTAAGTATTCTAAGAAACTCATATCAGACTTTCCAGATCTGAACCACTTGGATCCAGTATGTGGACCTGCATCAGACCCAAATCTGATCTGTGGCTGTATAAACGCGACTAGAACACTGAATTTTTCTTGTTTCTCTGCTCATATCAGAACTTCACAGCTCCACAAAACCAAACAGAAGGAGAGCAACAACATGGACGTGAGCACAAGGAGAGCAGAGGAAGTTTTATATTTTATGGACCTAAATGGAGTCAAACCAAACTGGAACAATCCTGAACATGCGCTGATACGTCATCTGTGCTTGTAATTTGTTATTCTTGTATAAATACACATTTCAGTTAAATGTGCACATGTGACACAGTTGCAAATCATCTACACATAAATATTTTTTTATCCTTTCAGGCAACTTACATTCCAAATTTCACCATATTTTATTTCCAGCTGCTCTTGTTTTAGTCGATTCAATGGTTTTTAAAACTTAAATGCTTCAAACTATGTTTTAAACTTTGCTTTTTATTACTTTACTGTAATCCAAGTCTTTTTTTTTAAAAACTCAGCTACATTGTGATTTAGGTCTACAACTCAATGTTCTCTGAGTTTAAATTAAAGCTGAATTAAATTAAGCCAAAAAACAAAGTCAGACCTGAGGATATAACACAGAATTTTTAAAGATTAGAAACAACCGTTTGCACATTTAAACATCTACAGTGATGAAGAAGAACAAATTGTATTTTAAAAATGACAGAATCTATATGAGAAATAATATACAAGAGATCCTAAAAGCGGATGTTTTGGTGACCTCTCTGGTCGGTTTGGTCAGAAATGTGCTGCTGCAGATATTAATGATTCAGTTCTTCCTGGTCAACGAGTGACAATCCACATCTGCACATCGTCATTGTTCCAGCTTCCTCTACAGTTTAACTCAGACTCGTCATAATTCTAGCTGCTTTATTTCCCCTTAAACTAACATATCTACATCGTCTTTTAAAGATTCTTGACATAAATAAATTTTGTAATTGCAGCAACACTGAATCAGAGTTTTGACGTTGTGATGCAGACGTCTGTAGTTACATCATAAAAACGACTTCCTGTCTGGCTACCTTCCTGGCCGTCTCCATGGCGCTCTCGCTCTCCCAGCCGTAGGCGTGAGTTCTGGAGTGAGGGTTGCCGTAGTAGTTGACCTGGTACGGCAGCATGGCGTCCAGCACCCGCGGGTCCTAAACACACACACACAGGAAAGCGTGAGTTCATATGAATATAATTACAAATCTCTCTCTGACATCCGCTGGCAAATCTGTAACCACGACAACGTGGTGAGCAACCGCTACCATTGGAGTGGTGGCCTGGAAGTCCATGTAAAGGGGGCGGAGCTCGTCCTTCTCCAGCTCGCGCTTCTTGATCAACTCTGCAGCGCAAAACACAATCTGAGGTCATTTAAGAGCCTTTTAATATCACATAGAATATAATTTAATACGTTTAAGATAACAGAGTGAAAGTGAAGTGAAACTAGCATCAATCAGACTTCATTTTTAGCAGTTTTTATCTGATTAAAACATTTTTAAAAGGGTTTTAAAGAGCAAAAGGAATGAAAAACTAAATGCAATGAGAAAAAAATAGAAACACAATAAGTCAGAATTCAGAAAAGCAAAATAAGAAAATGATAGAAAAGTGAGGTGATTAAAAATAAGTACACACTAAAGGGCATAAATAAATACATAAATACATTTTCACTACTAATAATAAATAAATTAATTTACTTAAGAGGCAGAATAAAAGGTAGGCTAAAGACAAAATGACCTAAAATGATCTTTTATTAAATCACAGTTCTCCAGCACTTCACCAATGTATATAATAACAATTCCTAATTAAATAATGACTGTGATAAATGCAACCTGGATCTGGGTCAAGTGGTAGGAAATGTGCATTAAGGTTAATAATAAGTAACATAAACTAACAATCTGTAGCTTCAACAAACTGGCTTTTAGTTTATGTGCAACCACACACACACAAGTATTTCATTACTAACTGAGGAACCTACACTTGGTGCTTTTTCAGACCTGAACAGAACAAGAGTCCTTCAGTCGGCTTTACTCAGAGTTTAATCAGATTTGTGTGATCGTGGACTGAAATGTGCGACGGGCAGCTCAGCAGCTGTTGAATCATTCGTTAACTCTCTGTGCAGCCGAGCAGAAAAACTGTCAGCTTAAAGAAACTGAACTGAATCATGTTAAAATACACTCAAATGTTTATTTTACTTATCTTTTATTAATCTGTTTTGTTGATTTTATTGTCTAAAACAAATATTTGAGACGGGACTTTATCAGCTCTCATTCCTCTTTATTTAATAAGCAAACCGACAATATTCCCATCAGTTTACTGTATTTAACGTCATTTCTTTGTCTTTTTGCACCAGTTTGTCTTTAAAGGTCTAGTTTGATCCAACCTACAGTGAAAGTGAACAAATCTAAAATATTCACCTTTTATTTTAAAAAGAAAGAAAGAAAGCAAAAAAAAAAAAAAAGATTGAACCCAGAACAATATAATATTTGACATTTTTGACATCAAAATGAACTGTATTGTCAGTTCATTCTGAAAACTTTTGATAATTTAGTGTCACTCAACTATTTTGAGTAAAAATCTGGGAGTTGTTTGGACTCTACATATCTCAAGTACACGTGAATGTGAACATTTCAGATATTCACTGTAAAAACTGAAAACAACAACAACAACAAAAAAGCTGAATAAATTATATTGTTATTCAATCACTGAAATTAAAAATGTACTGTCGGTTAACTAGTTGGGTAAACATCTGGATATCTGTTTGCATGTATTTATCAAAGTCTACTGTAATATTTAACCTTTTAAAGTCTTGTATGTCTGTAAGTGAGTGAGTTCATCTCTGAGGGGTCACTTCAGTGTCAAATGATTTCAGATTGCATCAGCTCTTCATATCCGCAGTATTTTCATTTTACAGAACAGTTGAAGTCAGTATTTGTTCAGATTAATAGTCCAAAACAAAAACTTTAGTAAAACTTTATTTAAATTTCAGGTTCCAAAGTAGAAACTTTATGCAGCCAAAGAGAATGAAGCTTTCATAACTAAAACCAAACAGGGTTCTTCTGTGATTAAATGGTTATTTTTTTAAAATGTGGGGTTTTAAATTACTGATAATTGATTATTAAAGTTCTACAGTGTTTCTGGGCTAAACCCGGTTCCCTCTGGTCGCTATTTAACGGTTCGGAAGTTTCCTGTCCCCCCAATAAACTGCGTCACTTCGGGATTAGCCTCATGCTAGCTGCCCTCCGTTAAATAACCGGTTCGCACCGGGCGGCCGTTACCTTTCGGCACGGAGCTGGCGGCCGTCCGCTCGGAGCCCAGACGGAGAGGCAGCCAGGAGCCGGGCCTCAGCAGCCGGGAGGAGACGGTCCTGCCTGGGGAAAGCATCTTGTCGGATCGGAGCTGGAGAGCCGCTGACCTCCGTCCACAAACAAGCACCGCGAGGACCGCAACCGGAGCAGCAGCGAGAACCGGCTGGGACCAGTCGAACCCGCCGGTTTCAGTAAGAGAAAGTGAAAGAAAGTCTCGGTTTCGAGGATAAACGTGGTTCAATGTGAGTGAAGTTCGGTTCCGAGCAGCCCTGCTGCCTGTCAGTTACATACGGTCCGGTTACAGCTCCGTCCGTCAGGTTACACACCGTAACAACACGCAGAACAACTTCCGCTTTCAAAATAAAAGGATTCAAACGGCAGGAAAATAAATACAGCTCATTTAAAATTAAAAAAATCACTTTTTATTGTAACTACATTTTAGATTACTGTATTCTTTACAACAATAAAAACACTGGTTGTAGGTGATCCACTGAATTTGTTTGGTTTTCATGTATATATATTATAGCTTCTGTTTTAAAGTATTTGGGTTAATTTCCGTATTTATTAATATAATAGCGTCTTAGCCTTAACATTTATTATAGTCTGTTTTAAAGTTAGTAATATTTCTGTTAGTCTGGTAAATTTACACCTTATATACCACTGTTGGGTATTAACTTAAATGTTTAAACTAACCAGCTCACTTTAAAATGCAAAAGATTTTTAAAATTTTGTTTACTGAAAAATACTCATTGGCTGTTGTTTTAAATGTGTTGTGTTGTTATGTTGTGTTGTATAACTCAACTTTTATATAGCTAACGTCACCGTTTTAGTGGGAGGTTTTGTTTTGTTTAGCCTGTTGGTGAAATATTTAATTATCATGTGCAATGTTACTTTATTACTTCAGTAATATTCAGTCTTTTTTCATACTTTTTCCATTGTAGTTTTATTTTAGCTTATTTATTTTTATGTCTATGTATTGTATCTTTCTTTTGTTCCTATTCTATCTGCACTTACACTCATGTTATTGGAATTTTTCTGAGCAATGTCTTGAACAAGAACTTAATTCAGGAATAATAAAGTTCCATCTTATCTTATCTTATCCATATTATCCTATCTTACCTACCTTTCTGCTGCAGTTTTATATTTCTTATTCTGATTGTTGTGTTTCTCTAATAAAATAATAAAAAAGACAGTAGTTTTATTGTGAAGCCTCCTGCAGTCTGCAGCTGCTTCACTCTGTAAATGTGTCGAACTTGACGCAGCTCCAAGTCGATGCAGTTTCACGGTTGCACAAGTACCGGAAACGAGAGGCGGGACTTCCTGTCGAAAGTCCACTCTCCCATTGGTCAATGTGAGTTGTTTTGGTCTGGTTAGGGGCGGGGTCACGGTCTTTTTCTGATTGGCTACAGACAAAGTTTATGTCGAGTTCAGCCTCTTCTGTTTTTCTTATTTGTTTTGGTCAAATAAAACCTGTGCTTAAAAAAAAAAAAAATTTACAGAACCATTGAAGTGAATGCAGTCCTGCCTCTCAGTGACTGCATTACGACTAAGTTGAACAGCAGAGTTACATCCTACAATCAATCAAAAACAAATACTTTCGGAATTTTAGGCCCTAAAGTAGAAACTCAGTGCAACAGAAGTGAATCCAGCTGTGATCACTGACACACAAGTAAGAAAACCTGTGATCATATAATGACAAAAACTGAACTTTGATGGACTAGCAATGCTTTGTTATTATACACTGATGGAAACACATTCATTAAACATTTTTCTTGTGAAAAACCTCTGTAATTATACAAGATATCTCTCATTGACCAAACAAATCTGTGTAATATTATAAAACTAAAACTTCTTTAACAAATAGTAATGCTTCAGGAACTGGGATGCCACAAAATACTGCAAAATAGCAGAGAACAGCCGCATATTACAATGTGAGACTATCATCAGTGTAATTAACATCTCATTTACATTCATATTGTACAGCCATCTAATGCTAATAATTGTAAAATTACATTTATGTATTTTTTAAAGGTGTTTCAAGTGCAGTTTTACAAACCACATGTCTTATTCATCCTGTCATATGTGCATGTCTGTACATAGCATATATAGTTTTTAATATCTTTATCTTTAAACACATAAAAAGACATTAATTCAAAATTCCAGGTCGTGAGAACCTCTGGAATTATACAAAA